TGTGAACATTTGTTTTATCTATTGACATTAGTCTATTTAATTAATTCATCAGCTTGTGCATCTTATTATCTACTTGTTCAACAACCACCCCCTTTACAAATAGATTAACGATTGTATATTTTATTATTTTTATACATTATCATGCACAATTTTTTTTAATAAAATAAATAAAAGAATCAAGAAGCAATAAAGCCAAAGAAAAAGGGGGACAAGGGCTAAATAGTTATCTTCAATATTTATTTGCCTAAATAGTTTGTCTCCATCTATGGTACTCCCATAAATGGAGTGAATTACTACTCTATTCAATGCTCTTTTGCAACATAACAAACAAAGACAATTAATTATAAGAGTTAGTGATAGAATGGTACAATATTTAAATTTGAGTTTCTTTAGTAGAGAATTACTTTTTTTAGGGATTGTTTTATTTTGATATGAAATTTTTAATGCGAATTTAGATATAGTTGGACTCTTGTATGAGTACTGAACATCCCATTGAAAAGTGCATAGAGGGAGTATATTCTTTCCGTTGATTTTTTTCTTGTCTAATATTGATTTGACACATTCTATTTCTATAAGAATAATAAATAAAACGATAATTGTACTATATCATTGAATATATTTTCTTCGTCCATTTTTAATTGTTCTAGTTTTCTTTTTTAGAGTCAAACAATAATAATTTTAATTAGCCTTTTACGATATATTTTTATTATGTAAAAAATTACAATTTATAGTACTTTTTATACAGTTTTTGAATAATTTTTAATTTTTTGTATAATATATCGAATTAATTTAATTTAATTTAACTTTAAAAATTAGTCAAATTGACTTTTAACAACGGCATATTACATATATTAGACCTTAAACTTGGCTTCAAATTTTAACTTTGATCTCAAACTTTCATAGTGCATAAATAGGCATTTTAACTATCCTATCTTTCAATAAATAGACACGCAATTTTTGAAGCCAAAATGCGTGAAATGCAAATGCTCCCACGTGTATTAGTGTGTCAATCAGTGGTTGCCGACTAACTAAACATTTTACATATCTTTTTTATTAAAAAAAATATCTTACATGTCATTTTGAAACTAAAAGAAATTAAAATTAATTTTAATTAATATAAAAGAGATTCATTAAAGGTAGAATTATCATTTCAGCATATTTTCTACTTTTGTGGGCCTCGAAAATTACCCCTCACTCGCGCATAATGCCATTTCACGCATTTTGCCAGGTAAGAATTTCGTGTTTATTTATTGAAAGATGGGATAATTAAAGTGCTTATTTGTGCACTATGAAAGTTTGAGGTCAAAGTTAAAATTTGAAACCAAGTTTAGAGTCCAATATATGTATTATGCCTTTAATAATATGACAATTAAAAGTGAACAGACAGACTAAATTCAATGTTCAGGAAAATGCCAGGTAAAATAGAAACTAAATAATAAATTATATATTGATTTTTTGAGTTAGATAACTAAAAATTGATTTATAGTGAATAAGTAAAAGTGAATAAAATTCTTAAATTGTGTGATTAATCAAATACAACAAATTTTGAATAAGTTAGCACACAGCTCCATGAAACATGGGGAAGCTGCCCAAATCATGTGATACCTATTACACCATTATTAGACTAAGTGAACTTTTAGGATTCCTAGTTTTTTGTTTAGGAATTAACCTAAAGTCTTAACCAATAATAGGGCTCTTTATTTCTTTAATTAAGCAATTTTTAAGGAAAAAATATTTTGGCTAAAATTTGGTCAGAATTTAGTATTTTTTTCTATGTAATTTGCTTTTTAAAAATAATTTTATTCTTTTAATTTTAATAACTTTTACTAAAAAATGAAAAAAAAAATAGTTTTAGATTTTTAAATTTTTTGATCACTAAATTTTCCGGTCATTTACCGCTTCTCAATTTTTAATTTGCTAAATGTTGTTATTTCTTGTCCTTTCTCTTTTATCCCTATTAAGCTTATAGGATAATGATTTTTAATTTGCTAAATGTTGTTATTTCTTGTCCTTTCTCTTTTATCCCTATTAAGCTTATAGGATAATGATCGTGTTGCTATTACCAAAGAAAAATAAATAATTACTTAAAGTGTTTACTTGCTAAGAATTTCACAATTATTGTTCAACTAATCCACCATAATATCTTTATGGGAGCATTTTCTACATCCTTAGTGAGAATTTAAAATAACAAAAAATGTTAACCCCCCCCCCCCCCAAAAAAAAAAAAAGAAAACAAAAAGACAATTTCATGTAAGATTTAATACTTTATACGTATGCATAATATGAAGTTTTACGACTTAACTAATAGCTAAATATTCAACGTTTATATCAACCTAATAAATGTATATAACTTTTGACATGGCTTAATCATCTTAATCAACATGTATTTTCAGCTCATTAATTAAATAATCACTTAATTATTTTTTCTTCGTTTTATATTAATTAATCATTATAGTAAAAATAATTGTGTCATCTTAGTTAGTCCATCTTACTAAATAAAAAAAATATGATTTTAAGCCGTGAATCAGAGATTTAAAAGTACTCACATTTATTTATAAAATTTTCAAGAAATCATGAACAGTAATCAATTAATATGAACCAAAGGGAGTATATTAGATTGGTGAGGGGGAGTTGGTTTTGTTGTTGCTCATTGAATTTCATCATGACTTGTTTTCAACTAGTATATTGGTTGTATTTGTGTGCCATGTATTCAATTACAAGGAGACACAATGGTAGGTTCACTTGACTCAAAAAGTATAACAACTCTTCATCAGCTTCATGTGTGTGGCTAATTATATTGCTACAAAATTATTATTACTTCTTGATTGACTCCCAATTTCTATATGTTTGGTAAGATGGAAATTATACTTTTTTGCTTCAATACTGAGTGAAAACTATTTTACTCAAAATTATTATACTCTCTCTATCCCAAAAAAATATTGGCTTCATTCGAAATACGAGTACCGGACTAACTAATGCAGTTGATTGTGAATTACGTAAGTGTAACATCTTTAATTTCTTGAGGAATTTACGTAGTTAGAAAATACATAGGAAGTATGATATCTTGACGTTGCAATACAATTCAAAATGTTTAGAAGATAATTTTAAAAAACTTATCAAGAAAGAATATATTTTTTGACTGTCCAAATAATAACTAAGACAATGTTTTTGGAACAGAGGGAGTATATTTGAAGGAAAATAGTGATAGTCGAGTGATATTTTGCTCTTAAATAAAACATAAATGATATTTCAAGACGATTCTCTAAACTTGGGTGACCATTTAGGAAATTAACTCGTAATTTGTGGAATAAATATATGATTCTTTCGTTCTTAATTAAATCTTAATATAATGTTTTAAAGTTTAAAACCCTTTAGCTTGATGACAAGTCTCTCTCTTTATGGCCCTACTCGACACTAATATAAATTTATCGAGTCAGTAAATTTCAAATATTAAATAATTGCTTCAAAGTATCTAGTTTTAAAAGTTAAAGTTGAAATACATTGGACCCTATACTACAAGATGAAAGTCTTGCTAGCTAGTTCTAAAGAACCTTGCCTCTAAGGATTGTTTAACAAAAACATTGTGTGAGAATGAGTTCTTAACAACTCAACCAACAATCTTTTATTTTTACTTGTAAATTTTGAATTCCTACTTTTTCATAATTTGCAAAAAAAATAATAAAAAACTGAAGTTTTAAATATAGTCATTTGGAGGTCTAATACACCACAGACAGATTTAAGATTTTAAAATTATAAATTCAATCATTAATATTTTTAACACGTAACACATTACATTTTTTTTTTCGAGAGTTGCCTCAAGTATCTTAATTTTTCTATTCTTTTTTTTTTTTTGAGATTCCTAAAAGACTGTCATTTTTATTTTATTTTATTTTGGCTTTTTAGGTCTGTGGACTGGACCACGAGAACCAAAAAGAGCAAAGTAACAATAGTTTAGTTGAACTCAAAGGAAAGTATACAGATACATTTGTAATATTATATCAAAAAGGGGGACCAAAATATAATTCTTACTTTTTCCTTTTTGGTCCCTATACTTACATTAAAAGATATATTACTACCCCATTAAAGTTTAGATTTATTTTATTGTATAAGCATTTTCAAATAATACTTTTTGCTATATGTTGGGCAGGGTTTGAAAATTGACTCTATTATTTATTTATTTTTGGAGGAAAAAAAAAGGGGACCAAGAAAGTTCATATAATTAATTTCTTATTTTTTTTAAAAATGAAACTTATTTGAAAAGACCATCCAGTTCACCATAAAAATAAATAAATTGGGGACCATTTAAAAAGTGCAATTAGGAGAATTAATAACACAATAAAACAATATAGAAAGCACAATCTTTTTGACTTATTTTTGCTTATACTTTTCTCTTTAACTACAAAAAGTAATACTACAAGAATATCTAAACAATATTAATTCTTCTTTTCAATTTATATAACACGATCTAATTTGAGATATTTAAAATTTATGATCTAAAACACTCGTTGATCATTTATATGGCTACAGATCATTTTAGTAAGGAGAAAATTCTAATTTTACAATTAAATTATTTTCAATTATTAAAAAGTGACATGCGATATGTAAAGGAATATCTCTTTAATATCATCAATATTTAATCTAAGCCACCCTCATATCCTTAGAAAGCCTAACCCAATAAATTATTATGAAGAAACTAATTATTAATCCTAACAAAAGAGAATGTCAAAACAAGGCTAATCTAAAAGAACAAAAAAACAATAAAACAATTATTTCCGACTCAAATATATGAAACATTTAATCATCAGTAGCTTAAATATTTTACCTAAATGTTATTTTAAAAAGTTACGATGGTACAGTTTGTACATACCTCAATTATTTTATCGCGATCTGCTACTTATCATCAATAATATGGCTTTTTCCGGATGAAATAAAAATTGAATTCATCAAAAGCCAGAATAAAGAAAAGCCAAATGAACTACTACTTCAAAAGGACAGCATACTAATCTATCAATAAGCAAATGCTTCTATATCATATAACTGAAGAGAGGATACAGACTCATATATCGATTATCGAACATCAAGAAACATCTAGACCTCGACGCTCACTTCAGAATAGTCAAATTTTCCTAGTACAATGATGAGAGGGTACAAAATGAAACTGGTAACAAAATTCCATACATTTAACACAATACATGGATGATAATGGATGCTCCATTTCCCTGATGACCTTGTAAGAAGAAACACAGTAGTTATCTCAGACAACCCTGGACTGCACCACACTGCAGAAGCCGGTTGTTGCAATGTCCAATGGCTTAAGAATGTCTACTTCTATCCCAGCTCCATAAACAGGTTGCCTATACTTGTTTATAGAATAGAACGTAAGCTTGATCATGCAGCACTCTGTTGGTGGTGACAGCAGTAACAGAGGCATCATCAAACCGCAACCACTTCCCACTCTGGTGACGACAATCAGCAGTGTAATGCCCCTTAGAAGCTTCCCTACCGTGGTGGGTGATTGTGGACACAAGTTGATATTGTCGACCCTGTGTGTTAAAACAATAAGAACAAGACAAAAATTTAGCCTCATTTCTTGTCACATATATCGCGTCTTAATAGAAGAATGCCCTGCTTCATTGATAATGTATGCAAAAAAGGTGATGATTTTTCATTTTTGGGTCCAAACGGGCAGTTGATATGCACAGTTGACAGGGTTTCTGAAGAACAATTGACTTTTGACATGTGATGCATTTCCCCACTTAGAGTAAATGACAATTAATATTCCTTGTAAACAACTATAAAACTGTAACCAGAATTGTGAACTTCGAAAAATCAAATTATTTTCCACGATTTGGGATAGAGGGTTGAAAATGGACTCAACAAAAATTAAAGATTACCTCAGTAGTCGAAGAAGCAAGCAAATCACGGCTTATCACTAGTTCCAGAGGAAAATGCACCGGTTTAAGCAATTTGGTACTTCCATAGCTTCCATAACCAAACCGCTTCAGGTGCAAAATCATCATCTTAGGCAGTGTCTGTATGCTTATGGATTTCCTAGCAGTAGACACTCCAACCTGTGAGGAAATAAAGAATGTTACAGGTCACCAACATGTAGTATGTATCCTGCATTGATCCGCGAGAACACTAAGCCAGCTATAACTTGTAAATATTCATCCCGAGGAAAACAAAGATAATCCCGTTGACAGGAAATTTAATCAAGTGAAAGTCATTTTACTGCACTTAAATTGTAATTTGCGTATGCATCCTAACAAGATGAAAAATTGGTTAAGTGTCCCATATTTATTGCGGGAATGGGTTATCGACCCATCTCTTGATGTGGATTACTTTGGGAAATTCTCACCTCATGAACTAGCTTTTGGGGTTGTTTAGCGGCAGAGGTTCATTTTATCACACGATATCAAAGACTTGACTCACTCCAATTCTTGGTTACCCAATTTTAGATCCCCATGTTATTGATATTTTATCCATGCTCCAGATGTCCAGGACATATGGGAGGGGTTTTTAAGTGCCCCACATTGGCAAAAAGCATGGGTTATATTGTCTCCATTTCCCTGATGACCTTGTAAGTGGAAGTTTTTGAGTTTCAGTAAGCAATGCAAAGAACTTTAGGAGTAGCTTTTTGGAGCTGGCATGGAAAGACTCATAACAACTGCATAATGCATGGCTCACAATCCCAATAATCAATATGCACTTATGAACTCTCTAGAAGCCAGAAGGGAAAGAAACCCCAGATGAATTGAACAAAAATTTAATCACCTTTATGAACTGAAGGCTTGTTTTATCTAACCACCTTAATACTTTTGGTGTAATTTCCATGTTGTAGATGATGCACATGAATTATTGGAATTTCGTAAGCTCTCCTAACAGTTCTAATAGGGATAGTTTGACAGCCAATTTCAAACAGTAGGGATGGATTGACTCCTTACAGTAACTCGTAGCATTTCCTTATATCAAAATTTTTGAATAATACATTATCATGAAAAGTAAAAACAAGAAGGATGGTGAGCGGCCACAATCAATATCCTTAACAAGAAGGAAAAGTTCTTAGGGAATTTGTACACTAGAGGCCTCCTTTTAATAGTCATTTATCTAAGATTCTATACAGTTTTATGCAGTAGGTTGACATATTCAATACATGGCATTAGGTACAGGACCATTCCCAACCACAGACAGTATTAAGCCTAATGTCCAAAAGATAGCAGAGTAATTTACCTTTCCTGCGGCAGTTCTATATCCCTCAAGTGTCTCGGGGGCAGAAAATAGGCGGAGAGCATCTTGAATGTTATGAACAGCTTCGTGTGAAATGTCAAGATGGACCACCAAAAATGGTTGAACTGTCGCAGAGGCTTTGTTCCCTACAACAAAACAAAGTAGATTCAATGAAAAACTCAATCCAAGTTGAAACATAGTTGAATAGACGTCATAGGCCCTACAAATTTGTCATTCCTACCAAAGAAGATAGATAACACATATTATGCATGAGCACAACATCTAGTTGCCTCACAAAAGAGCTACCCCGTTTATTTCAGACTGGGAGGGCTTTTTATGTAGCAAATTTAGGGTTTTACAATGACAAAAAATAATACAGTAGGCCAATTGGTGGAAAAAAAGTTCCCACCATGATACAACCAAGAAGTACCTTTCCTTGCCAATTCACATAGTTATTCATTCGCATCTTACGCATCCATTAACAAATTTACAATTGAGCCAGAAGTCCAAATTTTATTATCTTGGAATTATAAAGTCAATATAAAATATACTGGTCACGTGTAATCTACATGCTCAAATAAAATCAAGAATAAAGCATACAGGAAATTTCTGATGTTCCCATTTTACAGATATTGTCATGTTGGCCATTTATTTGTAGTGTGATGCACTAATTCTAAAGAGACGAAAAACATCATCAGGGCTTCTTACCACTTATCAAATGTCATTTAAAATTTATTACACCTACGACTTTGTCATTTTACTTAAACCGATGACCCATATTCTTTTTTTGAGACAAACCGATGACCCATATTCCTTAAACGGTTATCACAGTTAAACCAGGATTCACATGGAGACTAGAAAATTTATGAAAATGGCATAGAAATATCACCAAACAAATTACCAATTTCAGTCCCTAGATTTGATTAGTCTAGTAGTCTTATGCTCTTCATAAGAAGCATACATTCTTTAGATAACAAGCAAATTTTTCTACAAGCAAATTTTTCTTTCTTTGATGAATGAAGGGATATCAATAATCGGCATCAAGTAGATGCAAAATAGTACAAAAAAAAAACACTACCTCTCGCTTTAACAAGGCTCTTCAACTGCCCCCCAAAAATGGCACTCAAATTTGAAGGAACGAAGTCCTGAGTTCTTGTGACTGCAGATTTGTTCTTTGGCCCAACAGTTTCCCATTCCTCATCGTCTTCCGATGAAACAACAGAAGAATTTTTCCCACTTGAACATGATTGCCCTTCAAGCTTTAGTAATTCACCATGCATCTGATCCATTACAAAACTCAGGAACTCCTGTGCATCTTCTTGTCTGGGAAAATGTTAATAAAGGGAGTTTTGAGATACTTTACAAACATGACATATTTGTCCAATTAACGCTAATAAAAAAAAAACAATTAAATCATTCAGTAATGCCAATAAGTCAGATCCCATAGACAACAATCACAGTAGAAGGAGCAAGAAAAGAAACAGTAGTAAAAAAGAAGCGTTTTTTTCTTCTTCTATATTTTTTTTCCTTCTAGCAATTATAGGAGCTAGAAGAAAAAGGAGAATCAGACCAGTCAGGCAAATGTGTAAGTAATACAGTTTGGCAGCAAAGCAGTAACAGATTCCGTTGTCTTTCTCTTCTTAACAGACAATGGACATCATTAAGCTATGCAAGTGCATATCAAAATGGTGACGTCAAGGTATGCCACAACAAGGACATGGAAAAACATCAAGAAGGAACGCAACAATCACCACTAAGAAGTGTAAATAAGTATATACCTTGGTCTGCCAGAAATGGACTTAGGCACATCAGGAGTAAATTTCTTCAGAACTGCGTCAAACATTGCTGGGCTGAAGGGAGTACCAACTTCAACACTGGTTGCATCTTTCTTCATTGAACTTGTAGGACTAGGTACAACAAACTGAGAAAGAAACCCCACAAATGCAGCTAATGTTGGATACTCAGCCTTGGAAATACTGAGTATCCTTAGCTTTAGCAAAAGCTCAACAAAAGGAGAACAGGACAAAAGAGCTTGTAATGTAGCATTAAGGAAGCATAAGTTCCCTGGGTTGATTAAACCACGAGGTAGCAAGCCCGCAACATCAAGAGGACCACTAGATACCTCTGGGAGGGCCTCTTCTGAATGTAAAATTTTTGCTGAATTGCTAGTGGTCCCATTCAATTTTCCTTTACTGAGTAGTGCATCATCATCTCGTCCAGTAGTTCTAGACAACTTGTTGATGGCTTTAGCCTCATCTTCCAACACACATAAATTGCTCAAGTCAATATTGTGTGCCATTGCAGATTCTTCATGTCCATTGATGTAGTAATCATTGTGGACATCTCCATTCTGATTGATTTCTCTGAGCAAGTTATCTGCTCCAGCTTTCTCCTCTTTGAGAGTAGTAGAGGAATCTGAGCCTACTCTCTCTTTTGAAGAAGCGGGTTGAGAATTGGATACAGCACCGAAACTTCCAAAAGAAAAACCAGGCTCCGATTCTGAGGAATTAACTGGCACCTTTTCTTCCACGTGCTTATTCCCATCACAACCAGATGGCTGGTTCAGCAATGACTTTGTTTCATCTTCAGTAAATGAACCAAATAAAAATATCTGCAACATATCAAAGACAAAAGCAACAATTTTGGCTCTATCATTGCTAACCAAAATGGGAGGGGGAAAAGGCAGAATCACAGATAGTAATTTCTTCAAACTAAAGTATCACAAAACACATAGCACAACCGTCTAGTAAATCTACAGAAGCTGCAAAAAAAAAAAAACTGGATTTCAGTCATTTTCCATCCCCGTCATACTACCAATTACTTTTATCAAATATCCACCAATACTTATGACGCATGAAGCTCCTAAACTATGCATATGGAGTTAACAAGTACAAACCACACTTGATACAATTGGCCTGACACTGCTAATGTCAAATCCATGTACCAAGTTCATTTTTTGCCTGCAATTGTACCAGCTCCATTGAGTCTTTACAGCCACACCCCATCAGTTCAAATCCAAACTAATCTTCACAAGACTTGTGTAACCATAAATGTATGGACTTCATACACCTAGATAAATGCAGACAACTTCTGCTAGCCTAGGATCAAGGAATCTATTTTCACCTCTAGTGGGACCATTCTCCGAAGGATGACATTTTGGCCCAAACTTTAACTGAAAGAAAGCACATTACCGAGAAAAGGGCAGAGACATGAGTAAATTCATGCAGTTTTTTTTATCAGTTGAACATTTCATTTGCAAATCGTTATATACGCACTACCGAGCAACTATAAATCAAGATTCAACTAGGCCACTACCCCACACTAGTCTATTGATTCTATGGAACTCAATGTAATTCTAACAACAACTGAGCCTTAACTTCTGAATACATTACGTTCTATTCTTAGCTAAATTCATCTTGATTTTCAGAAACTGTAGCCCTTCCATAACAATGTTCCTTCATGTGATTTTTTATCTACCCTGTCCCCAATTATTACATTCAATAACCATAATATTACACTTCATCTTACGTGACACCTAAATGCTTAATATGCAGGACAAAGAAAAGAAGCAAAAGGAGGCATATTTAAATTCAGGAATGCTGTAACCAAAGAGGCATTTTCCATTTAAGGAAAACTGCCCATTGAAAGAAGCAGCTCATGGAAGATCTTTACCCAGGATCAAACAAGGTCAAGAAAAGAACCCTACAGTTAGGAAGCTTCCCACCCACCAATACATAGAAGGAAAGCAAATCAGAAGGGAGCAAGGCATACGGTCGTATCTTCTCAATCAAGGATCACCATTTTATCCCTGATTGAAGGAAATTCCCTAGGGTTATCCTAAAGATCAAATCAAAATCAATCAAGTAATCGATTCTCGCCTCTATCTCAGCAATATCAAGATCAAATCAAACACAACAAATTAGAATGGAATAATGACTTCGGCGACAATCAAGGTGAAAATGTGATACTCTACACAACAATGGTCATAAAGCAATTCATCACTATAAAGAAGATCATGATCGATGGAACAGATGTGCAACATCCCCTGAGCAAGAAAAACTATTTACTCTTTTATCTTATAAAAGCACTGTACTCATTATAGTTTACTAGCAAAGAGAAAAGAAAAGGAGAGATTAGAAAAGCTATACAAGTAGAGGCTGTGACCACTAACCACAGAAAAAATCTGGAACTGCCCATATCTAAGGAATCTAGCACAGTTCAGTTCATCACAACACAAACAGTACGTCAAAGTTCATACATAAGCTCTAGAACTCTTGTAACCCAAGGGGACTGGACATCACATCGGTGATCCAAACCAGTATAAAACATTTATCAATTTATTTTTTAGTACTTCACATTATGTTATATTCTGCTTATTAGTCTAAGCTGCAGGGGAGTCGAATTTTGTATAGCAATAGTTGCCTAAAATTTTACTACTAACGGAAAGATTTCACTTCACCACCCACCACCACCACCCTTACCCTTGAATTTCAAGTAATACTTATGTCAATTAATACCCAACACATAATTTAACAGAAGTGTAAGAACTACCCCTCAACTAAAAGAAATAGAGCAAAGCATGCCCTTATCATTTGTGGATTGACTAAGATTTGCCCCTCAACACGGAAAGTAGAACAAATTTTCCTTCCACTCGACTTCGGTCTCAAATATACCCTTATCATGAGTGGACCAAATCATATTTACCCCTCAAAGCTAACAATTTTTTTCTTTCAGTCAACCATTCTATTTTAAGGTCAAAATTTCATTTGACTTTTGTACAACGAGAGGAATAACAAAAGGAAACATGTGTAGTTATTTTTTCAAAAATACATATCAAAAGCATAGATTCACAAAACATTCTGTTTTGCTCAAAAGATGACTAATAACTCTGCTCTCTTTTAGTTGTCTTCGTGAAGATCTATAACTTCTTGTCTATTCAATTGCAATTATATGCATAATTTTAGCACAAACAAGATAAAATTGATACTTTATGGGTTTTGTTCTTTCTGGCATGGCTCCAAAAGTTAATCATAGAGAACCATTTGGAGGCAAAGGAACATTTTGTAACTTTTTATTGGCAGCAAGAAGCAATTCAACCATCATATATTACAAAAAGTGGGAACACCCCTAAGTCAAAAGTTGATTCACAAATTTAACCCATCAAAAGTTGAGTAAAAGCTTTGCCCATCAATTGTAAGTTTTTCGAAGTTTGTTTTTTGGATTTCGAGTATAATGGCACCCCCTGGAGGTTTGTAAATCCCACCTCATCAGTTCATTCATGAGTTCTTTTTGGTGAATACAAATTACCTATTACCAAAAAAAAAAAGGGGGGGGGGGGGAAGAAATCACCTAGTGCTTTTTTTCGTCTCTGTTGGGGCTTAAACCTAAGACTTCATGATTATCAACCCACTTTATTAACCTCTAGGTCAAACCCTTGGGTTCTCAAACACCTACTAATTTGATTGATATTTTTTGTACAAAAACTGTTAACTTATCATTAATCACTATTATACTCTTCAACACCAATAGAGAATTATAAGTTACTTCAAGTTAATCATACACGTTTATTTTTTTCTAAAGAAGTTTCATTTGTTTTATTTAGAAGTCCACTACTATCTCTGTCAATTAAAGAAAATAATTCCCAATTGTCATATCCTTCTTTTGGCTTTTTATTCCCTGTTACAATCTTATTCTTATCCCCTTAGTCTCTTACCTATAAATGTTCATTTATTGCTACGATAAAGCTCTCAACATTCAGATTATAAATATATTTGCTCATGCTTCTATAACAATGATCATTGCATGGCCTGTTAAGGAAATCAAGTTTTCTGCATTCTTCATCAAAAAATCAAGGTTTCTGCATCTGAAAAGCTAAATTGCAAGTGAAAGGGTTTAAATTATGTATTATAGTAATGAGTACTTGGGATACTAGATCGACATATTGGCTTTAAAAACATATTTTTTCACTTCTAATGGTACGTCTGCATTTGGGTTCTTACACTGTTTTTCAATTGTTAGTTCCTTGACCCCTGTTTTCCGGTAACTACTTTAATTTTCCCTTGAAAGTTTGGAATCAATCAACGTTCATATCCTAAATAAACCTTCCACTATTTTTATTTTTTCAGATATAACATCTTATGGTATTTTAGGCCTTATCTCTATACCAACTGTACACTTGTGTTCTGATGAAGCTCCCTATGCAAGTACTTCTCTCTATTATATTCTTTTCATATTTGTACCGAACTAACGAACTCTCTCATCCTCCCTATCTCTGTAACCAAACACACCAAAGCAGTAAACTCCATGAAAAGCTCCATTGACAGACATTAAAAAGTTCTGAAGCCTTGTCTTCGAAAATCGAGTTATACAAAATTGTTATTTGCTTGGCTTAAGTGTAATTATAGACTATTGGGTATAGCCTTTGGAGTTTATTTGTCAATGTTAAGGTGGTTTGGTGAAGATTAAAGTTGGTTTTGAGTGGATTTTCAGATTGAAACTCCAACAAAAAGAAGAACAATAAGTTGTATGTTATTTGCGTGTCCAATGAATGAACGGACATACAATGACATTGTGTTAAAATTTAACACTTAATAAATTAATCTACATTAGCTCACCATTTAGTCATATGTTTTGAGGTTTCATTATTTTACCATAAAAGGATGCCATCACTAAAAATAAACATCATACTACTGATAATTATTTACAAATGATAATACTATTGGTAAAATAATTATTTACAATTGATAATACTATTGGTTGCACCTCACTTAAATTCGTTAATTTACCCCTCTCATGTACTTATCTAGTCTAACATTTAGTCTCAATATTTTGATCTCCTGGTCCAAGATAAGGTACATTAGATACATTGCATAATGTACACAGTTAAAATTTATCATTCCAACTTATCACAAGATTAACCAATTCTATTCGTGTGTTTCCCAGAGAGTAGCTAAAATATTTCTGTAACAGCATACCCATTCCGTCAACATAGCTTTCTTTTTCACTTCCTCAGTCACCCACAACACCATCAAAAAATCAAACTACCCAATACCAGTTAAAACAAAAAGCAGTCCCACAATTCACATAACATATCACACAAGCAAAAAGATACACATCACAAGCCAATGGCTCACAGCCAATAAACAAAGATACACCTATGAACCATTCCAAACATCAAAAGATTTGATTTTTTTCCATAACCACAATCAATCAATCACCATATATGAAACAAAACATTGTCTCTCTAACTTAAGCGGTATGTCAAGGCCAGAACTCAAGAACCCATTATAGTATATTATTCAAGACATTCTAAATAAACCCTACTTCCCATCAAACAAGAACAAACAGCAAATTACCAAAATATCAAAAAAAGCAAACGAGAAACAGCAAGAATCAGTAATACCCACCTTAGAATCACTCATGTTGTGCAGAAAACAGCAGTGCCGGAACTGATTGTTGATTTCTGAATAATATAAGCTAAAGTTAACAACTTTACGGTGAAGTTATGAAAATTCAAGGATTGCTTTGAAACCCTTGATGCTGCATCAATATAAGACATGAAATAGGAAGATACAAAAAGGGAGAAACAGGGCATTTAAGATTAAATGAAGAAAATCCAATAACGAACAGTAGAAGCATCGAATAATCCCCAATAACAGTAGAACTCAAACACCAATAAAGACAAGGATTGAAACAAAAAAGGATTTTGGGTTTTTCGTGAGTTTTGTGAATGTTTTAGGTTAGGTTTTTTTTTGCCTAAAAGAGGCTGCGGTTCACTTTATATATGAGTTAGCAAATTTCTGTTTTATCAATGGCTTCAACATTTGGAAAAATGATATTAAAGATAAAAATTTCATTTGTAAGGAAAAACTTTTGAATTTGTGTGAGTAGAAACAATGTTATCACTTGATATAATTGATTTTTTAATGTAAATTTAATTTATTCTTTCTAATCAAGCAAATGAACCGCAATTTTTATCAAAGCAAGAAGTATAGATTAGCGACTTACAGGGTCAAGTGGGAACTTGACAGCAGTTACTAAGCCTTCAAAAGGATGACGCCGACCACCTGTGGTTTGTACAGAACTGAAAGCTCAATGTAGACGACTTTAAATAGGTCAAGAAATTTATTTAAGATATTTATCTTCGTATTTAAGCTTGTGAACAAGAGATATTTCATAAATAATGGCATTGTTGTAAAAACTTTCTTTTTAGTATATTAAGTTTATTTTATTTTATTTTTAATGAAGTAGAATTTAAGAGTACTTCAGTTTTCTAGACTAAGACATAGTTTATGACGTAATTGACAAAAAGGCTAAAATATGAAGTGCATAAGTTTATTTTTTAGTGTATCTCATGCACATAAGCCAGAAAATTTAAAAGATACGATATATACTCATGTATAAAGAAGGTTTTACAAGTTCATTAGTCATGTCGGGGATTCAATACTTCCACAAGTTCATTAGTCATGTCGAGGATTCAATACTTCTATAAATACAAATTTATTATTACATTTAGATATATATGAGTACTCAACAAATAATATCGATTCCGATGGAGGAGGTGATTGATTGAAACGTCGTAATGAGAATATGATCATGACATTTAGCAGTATTGTAAAAAGCATTTTGAAGAGAGTCTCAAAAAGCGTAATAAGAACTTTTTTGTTGGGATTTATGCAGTTTTGATGATTGAAAAGAAAGATGAAATACGTCAGTTCAACATCGACCAAAGGTGCACTGTCATGAGCAATAGAATTCGAGAAAGCTTCTAAAATAAATAAAGACAAGAGAAATAAAGGAATGGATAATGTTAATTTCGTGAGGAAACCCAAGGAAATAAACATCTGATGAATTGAGAGAAAGAATCAATGAGTTTGATTTGAAGAAGGAGTCTAAAGAGGCAAATAGTTTTAATTGAAGAAGAAGTCTCACTTAAAGTAGAACTCTTAAAGTTTCCGATGAATTAAAGTTTTGAAGTTGGACTACAATACAACAGAATCAATTAATGTAATTTGAAGAAGAAGTCCAAAGAAGCTAGGAGTTTGAATTGAAGAAGGAGTCTTACTTGAAGTAAAACTCTAAGTCAATAGAGTTCAAGTCAATAATGAGTTTGAAGTGAACAATAACTCTATGATAAATTGTGCTTAAATAGAAGTGAAGTCGTTCAGAATACTGGTGCACTAATAGAATAAAAGAGCGATTGAGAAATTCACTTCGCAAGTACTACCAGTGAACTGAAGGAACACATCGAAGAACTTGATCCTTTTACAAAGTTTATGTGTTATAAGTTTTTCTTTGTGGATAAGTCTGGATGTAATCTTAGTTCAATGAGCTACAAATTGAATTAGTAGTGTTTTTTTAAGGTTGTGATAACTCGAAGCACATACCTTGGGAGGTTTGTGTTAAAGGTTAGGAATTAGAGTTAGTTCCTAAGATTACAAGAGTTGTAGTCCGAATCCATAACTTGAAGTTAAGGTAGGTTGCAAAGTTTGTAATCTATCTTTCGTGGAGGCTCGTAGTTGATTTAGTGAAGTTGGAGTTAAATCATGTAAGATTACAGGTCATGGTTTTTATACCTTTTGAGTCAGTTGTTTCCACGTAAAAGCATTGTATTTTTACTTATTGTCCTTACTGCTTTGTTGGAACACATTAGGCAACTTGTTTCACACTTAAGCGAAAAGATAAAATCATTAAATTACTAGGTCATGTAGAATATCAATTGGTATCAGAGCAGGTTGTCTTTTACAGGTTAACACATAAGATAAAATATTGAGATGGATTTTGCACCACCTATTGGTCACAACGAAGGAGAGTCAATTGTCAGACCCCCAATGTTCAATGGGTCTCACTTTGGCTGGTGAAAAGCACACATGGAGAATTTTATTCAAGCCGAAGATTACGAATTATGGGATAGGATAACTATAGGACCCACTATTCCTATGAAGACTGGCGAAGGAGTTAAAGTACCAAATGTTAGGATTGACTTTACTATGCAAGATTTATCAGCTCTCCGAAAAAATGCTAAGACAAAAAACATTCTTATTTGTGGTCTGGACTAGATGAGTATAACAAAATTTCAAACTGTACTACTGCTGCACAAATCTGGGATGCATTGGTTAATACTCATGAAGGAACAAGTCAAAAGAGAAAATTCAGATAGTCATGCTATTCACTGAATATGAAACATTCAAAATGATGGAAGGTGAGCCTATGTTGAAATGATTACTAGACTCACTAAGTTGATGAATGAGTTGTCATCACTGGGAAAAATCTTCGCTACTGAAGAACAAGTTGATAAGGTGCTAAGAATCCTTTCTAAAAATAAATGAGATGTAAAAGTAATTGCCGTAAGAAAAGCTAAAGATATCTCCATCATTACACTTGATGAACTTGTGGAAAATCTCAGAAATTATGAGATGAATATGGATGACTTAAAAAAGGAGGAGATGCTCAGCGAAAATCACTAGCCTTGAAAGTGTTTGATGATGAATATACTGAGTATGATGAGGACCAAATCGCGCTTCTAGCAAAAGGCTTTAAGAAGTATCTCAGGAAGGAGAAGGAAAATGAAAAGAAGAAAACCAATAAGAAGAAGTGGGTAAATGATAAATCTCAAAATGGTTGCTAAAAGTGTGACAAAACTGATCATCATGTTAAGAATCGTCCACAATGAGAAGCTAATTGGAGGAAAGAAAAGATAAAAATGGAAAGAAAGAAAAAAAATGTGCAATGGTTGCTGCTTGGGATTCAGAAGATGAAAAATCTGATGATGAAGTAGATGAAAATACTTTCATGGCTGTAGGAGATTTAGACATTGAAGATGATAAAACTTTGAGGTTAGTACTATTGATCTTAAAGAAAAACTGCATATTTATTCAAGAATTAAATTAATCGGATCGTTGAATAGGTTAATTGATGACTTTGAAGAATTAACATGTGAAGGAGATCAGTTGGTTAAAGTCTTTGCAGACCAAAAATATGAGTACATGAAACTCAAAGATGACAAAACTGTAACTGATAAACAAAACAGTTGTTCGATGAACATGTTGAAAAACTTGAGTCATCTAACCTGGACTAAAGTCTGAAATTTTAAGGATGACATTTACAGAAAAAGGAAACGAAAAAATGAGTGAGATTGAAGAAAACCTAAAAAAAAAGTTGAAAAAAATTTGCAAAAATGACTATTTTTTTGAAAAAGAAAAGGTGAGGAAATTAAATATTGAAATCTCTCAGATAAAAGTAAAGCTTGAGAAGGAAAATAGATGGACTCACTCATCTATTATTGTTAACAAATTGAGTAATAGGGTGCACAATGAGAAGGCTGGCACAGGATTCCATAAATAAAATATTATCTCTGAAGATTTGTGCTATATTTGTGGAAAAATTGATCATCCAACTATTAAGTGTTCAATTGCTTATGATTTTAGAAAAAAAATACTAAGTTTTCAAATGGAAACAGATATATGCCTGTTGGCAGAAACAGGTCCACTAATCATTTGCCTAGATGGACTAGAAAAAATTTGATTCACCCTTTTGATCATAAGAAAGGACCCAAGCATGTTTGGGTTCCTAAGAGTAACCCTTGAGTTATTTTGCAGGTGAAGCTGAAAGGAAGTAAGTGATTGTTATGCTTGCTTAAGTGATATGAATGAAGACAAACAAAAGTTTCTTTTGCTCACTTCACAAAAAAGGAGAATGCGTCATTTTGAAAAACAAAGGTGTGGAGCTAATGCATGTATAAGGGGGGGTGGGGGGGGGGAGAAAGTGAGATTATTTTAAAAAAGAAAAAAGAAAAAAAAAGAGTGAGGAATAAAGTGACACTGATGAGAATGCATTGGAACACGTTGTACCACATATTTTGGTCTTTTGAACAAACTAAGGATATATTGATAGGGGGAACAATGAATCTTGAAACTGATTTATCCACAAAAGTATGTGGTTGTTGGATCACGTTGTTCTTTGTCAAACAACAATTGATGGATTATGACATTAAGTAGGGAGCATTATGAAAATAAAAATAAGTTAGACTTGGGGATGATTAAGATTGCATGAACTTCCCTCAATGATTGGCTAAAATAATAGTTCTACTAACATTGTGAACTAAAATATTATTCAATTCAATCTTACACATTTATTTGTGTATCCCAATTTCATATCCTTGACTTGTTTTAACCTAATTTTGTAGGAGATTATGCATAGAAATTGTAAAAACAAACAATGATGATCACAAAATTGTTCTTATTAGGTATGTTATATATTTATAGAAGTTACTATTGTATAAAGTGAAACAGTTGAGCACTCATGTTTCATATATTAATTTTTCTAATAGAGAAAAAATAACCGTCCAAGCGCAAGAGTCTCATTCTTTCAAATTGTTCTCTCTCACTTTGTCTTCGTGGATTATTTTTTTTTGCAAGCTTAAAGCAGATAGGTTCTCATTTTCAGTTCATAAAGAAGAATCAACTCCTAAAACACATCTTTTTTTTCTATTTCACCTTGAACTCTCATCTAGAAATCAAAAGTGTCAACAAGATGTCATTATCTTAGAGCTAGCATAAAAAAAAGGATAGCATGATTTTTATTGTAAGTTTTGAGGAATACTCAATTCCAATTCACGCATGTTCTTTTTTAAAAAAAGCCATTGAATAGATGAATCATACTGATCTACATGTTTCGATGAGGAAAACTAATACTCCAATGAAATGATTGAAGTAAAATGAAAAGGTTGAAGTAATATTTTCAGTGATAAGATTGTTGAACATGAGGTTGGTCATATTGCCTATAAAAAAAATCAGATATGAATTTAAGCT